AAAAAAAAAATAATAATAAAAAGTTTTATAAAAAGCTTTTATAAAATTTGATTGGTTAAACAGCAAAAAACAGCAACAAAAACTAACGAGATCCTTAAGTGCTACTGGTTCCAAGTCTGGATCGTCAGCATCGTACATACGTTTATTTCTAAATTCAAGTTGTTAATGTGATATCGCTTTTTTGGTGAATAGACTCTCTGCCAAATACTGCGTCAAATTTTATTACATATTATTAAATAAAAATAATTATAAATTAAAAACGTTAAAAAGACGTAATTACCTGTAAGAAAAAAACTTGGAAATAAACTTCAATACACTTTTACGAGTTTTTGTTTTATACTTTGACTTTATATCGTTTTCTGCATTTCCGGTCTGTTCCACTGATCTCGTTCCTTTTGTGAAGGCTTTATTACCTTGCTCTGCTGACTCTGATATAGATATTCTGTCAAACTCCTTATCGCAAGTCATCTCAACTGCTTTTCTCCGGCACTACAAAACTGGTTAGCGTAAAGCGTATTTTGTAATGACATTTACATAGCTTACGCATTTGTGACCAAAATATCATGAGCTATAACTCTTTTGTATCTTGGAAGTTTGCAGAAGATCAAGTGGAGAGGCGTGTCAACTGGTTGTGCCGACGTAATAAATAATTAATTCGATTAGCTTCACTTTTCTTTCGGTAGTCAATAACGCATAAGTTTTTAGCTTTTGAGATTGATCAAAGAAAAATCCTCAATAATGACGAAGAACGCTCGCGTTCTGTCCAAAAGACAAAGCTGTGTCATTTAAGCAAACGAGACAATTAGTAAAGTTTTTACAAGAACTTTTGAAAAGCGTTTAGCTCTTTATTTATTATAGCGCTATCTCTGGTTTAAGAAGAAGTTTGAACTTATTATCAGAAGATGCTGAAAGAATTCTTTGTGAAAATCTAATATTTATGATCAGAAAAACACGAATTTTTTCAATCACTAGCTTAAAGAAAACAAATACAAAGTTATTATCTGACAAAATATGTGTCGACAATACAGAGGGCGATGACATTTGTAGTCTAAGCTGAAATTTTCGCAGTTTTTTACCTCAACATTCCATTTTTAAAACCACACTTGAGAGTAGTTAAGCTGGTTTGAAAATACAAAAACAAAGATCTTTCTACAGAGGCTAAAACATAAGATTTAAACTCCAAAATTTTTCTGAAATCAATTGTGTTCTTCTAAAAGCCTAGGTTAAACTAAAGAAATTATAAAATGTCAGAGTTTTTGAGGATAAGCGCAGTGTCAGATGTGAAAGAACAAATTTTCAGTGACCATCAAACAGACTGTTTAGTTTTGATCAGGAAATGACTAACAGCTTACGTAAGTGCAGTTTATTGCATATCAATTGACAGAAGTTTAGAGTCTGAACAACAAAAATGCAAAAGTATTCTCAAATTGATTTTTTTTCAACAAATTCCTGTTCAACTACTATTTACATTATTTTTCAGTTGTGGTAATACTGACAAGAACATTATCGAAATAAAAATTAGCTAAATATTCAAGACTTTAGCCCATTAATTTCTTATTTGATTTAATTTTTTGTTCGTTCAGCAAGTTGATGAAAATGTGCCAAAGTTATCAATTACAGTTCAGCAAATTTGGTGTTAGCCTAAGGTTACGGTGGTCTAAGAATACGCAGAAACGAAAGCGGCCGTACAGAGACGGATTTAATCATTAACAGATGTAAAGAATGGCGAGCAAAAAGAACCAAAGTTTTGGAAGATTACTTCGGAAAAAAGTTGGACTGCAGTACTCAGCACCGAAACAACCAAAAAGTATGATTCTGTAACAGAACCCTTCTAAATATGGCTCATATGGCTGTTTTTTAGTAATTGAAAAAGATTATCTGCAGCAGTTTTGCATGTTAGAATTTTGCACTTTACGTTATTCAAAGCAGTAAAAAACTTCAATACCAGCAAACAACAAGCGAACAGTAAATTTCGTTAAACTTTCCTTTACTGAACAGGAATAAAAAATATTTATTTTTATTTTCTTAAAAATAAGCTACACTTAAAAGTCTGGTCAGAATGAATTCCATTAAAATTGCGACTGTTGTAAAGCCAACGAAAACCAGAAGTTGCCAAGCTAGAAATCTGGTTAAAACTTTTGCAAACGTGTATTAAATAAGCACTTTTGATTGCGCAATGTTCAGTAAAATAATAAGCGAAAATATAATATTACGCAATCCAATGCAGTACAAAAAAACGCCTTGCATAAATTTATTAGCCTTATCAGTCTTCTTTTGCACGACAAATATCGGGCCACTGAAAGGTTTACCTTATTTAATGCCAAAAAGTCACAGAAGGAATGTCGCTAAAACAGGTGTTTAAGAAAAGTAATAAGCCGCATAAAAGACTTTGAAAGATTTTTATCAAAAGCAGTCAATTTTAAACATTTTGAAGCTGTCAGATATTAAAGTAAAGAAAATCAACCAAATTAATATCAGTAGGGTTGAGTGCTAATAACCAACCCATGATTACCAGACAGATCACTTGGCTTTAGAGTATTAGCCTTTATTTTGCCATTTAACTGCTGGTTCTTCAAAGTAAACCTACAAGATCGGGCAATTTGTACGTTTCTATGGTAAATAAGTTTAAAAAGAAAAAAAGCAAATACTGCTTTCAACGAATCTGCAGTTTCACTTGCCCTTTTTCAAAACTTCTTTTTCATGTATCCGATAAAAGCTTGTTTCTCATTCATTCTTTTTTAAAGTTCAGAAATAGACAACCAGTATTATTTTTAAAGAAAAATTGTTTTTTTCAATCATTGAACAAGCACTAAATTAATTAAATTTTCTGCATTACCTACCTTTTTAGGTTAATACGTAATATGTGAAAAAATTATGCATTATGACGAACAAAAAAAAAAATGTTACGGAATTTTGTTTTAAACTTAAACAGCCAAAAAAAACTGAAGCTCTTAAAAATGTCGCATTACTAATGATATTATAGTCACTCTAAATCACTTAAAGAAAACAGCTTCAAATTTTACTCGCTTGTGAAAGTCTTCTAACAATAAAACTAGCATCACGAAAAAAACTTATTTATGAAAATGTAAATAATTTAAAAAAAAAATTTTACGTACTGTTTTTATTGCTTTTTCAGGGTCAAACAATCTGTCAGTTATGAACTTATTACAGGTAGCAAAAAAAATATAAAGTCTTTTGCTGCACAATTTGAGAACAATTTATTCATACTTGTCTCGACTTTTTTCCACTAGCTATCCTTGGAAGTGTTTGCTCAGGAAAGACATCAACATATCACAAATTAATAGTTTTGTATTAAAGAGGTAATGATTTTTGGTTAAAGGCTAAAGACAGTTGAAAGAAACTGTAGCATAAGTTTCAGCAAAGTTTCTACTCAATCTTTAGACACTTGATATAGTTAGAAAGCCCTGCACAGCAATTGTTATAAAATTTAGCTCAAAAACTAAAACTGTTCTTTAGAAACAGCATTCAAAAAGTGAGAGAAAAAGCAGAGCTGAAAGTAATTTTTTGCCAAATTGTTTTTATTCAAAAGAACTGTCATTTAGCTCTCTAAAAGAGCAAATTTTGATTGCTAAATAAACAGCAAAGTACAGTTATTTATAGAACTGGTACTACAAATTTTATCGTAGTAATGAAGAAACAGTAAATTTTCACTGTTGGTTGCAGTTCAAATTTTTTAAATTACACCAAAAAGTGTGAGTGGAATACTGAATTAAACCGAAGGACAGGCGCTATGCATTTTTTGCACAACTTTTTTTCTTGAATCCATAACAGAGCTACTCTTTCCGGTCCAATTTTACATAAGCCTGACAATTTGCTAAAGATTGTTTTTTAATTAAATTAGTGGTCTGTATTATAAAATATTATTAAGTGAAGAAGTATTATTGAAGCATTTTCTAATATAGAGATCATGATGATTTATAGAGGTTGCTTAAGAAACATTGACTTGTTTTGTACATGCGTTAACAGTTTGAAACCACGGTTACATCTTGTTTCAACAGTTTTTTTCAACTTTGAATCAAATGTTGCCTTTATTTCATAATTCATTTGCTAAAAATAAACACAAAAAACTTTTTTTGCTCCTGTCTAAGATTAAAAAAAAATTTATGGTGAAAACTGTGTTGCCAAGTATTGGTTTATGTTACGTTAAACAGAATCTACTTGTTGTTTCAGTTTTCCGTGACACTAATAATTATTGTTTCACTTTTATTATTGACTAAAAATACCGCTGCAGAAACCTTTTTTGTTAAATTACTCGGCAGTTTTTGCATCCGAAGGTTATATGCAGCATATTTACAATGTCTTTAGACGAAGAATAATGCTAGCTTACTACTCCGCCAATAGTCAATATTTGTTCAAATCACTTTCAAAAATGTTTGCTATTTTACAGTTTCAGCTTCGTTATAGTTATAAAAAACTTTCAGTATAAATTTTGGAATTAACCAAGTTTCTTGTTCTCTTTTGAAAGGGCAAATGTATGATTTTGAAAATTTTTCAAGAAAGAAGATTGTTAGAGTTGTGATACTGATAGCGCTTGACCGGATATTTCAACTTCTCTTTGAAACATGTAAAAGCTTAATAATATTATTAAGGTCCTTTTTATTTTACATAAAACACTCGATGCGCAACAACAACTTTTTCTTCAAAGCAGTGTGTCAAAAAGCAGGTTAACCATAATAGAGTTCATTATTACCACGTCATAAAAAATTAAATCGTGGTGCTAAGCAGCATCAATGCTCTTTGAGCTAGCTGTGTACAGTTTATAAACAGACAAGAAAAGCTGAAGCCTAATAGAATGCAAAGACAGCAAAATACAGGAACCAGAAATAAAAGCTATGCAGCGAGATCCTGTTGTTTTATAAGGTTGTAGTATCGATCTTTTCGAATCATCAATGTCGAATGATTGCCCATCTCGCGAACTTTTCCATTTTCTATATATATAATTAAGTCTGCATTCTGTATTGACGACAAACGGTGTGCTATAGTAATACACGTTCGACCCTGTCTGGCCTTGTCTAATGCCTCTTGAACAGCCTAAAAGTTTATAAACATTTTTCAAGCAGCGTTTATGATATGTCTTTAAAAAGAAGCTTTTCAAAAAAAGACCTCCAGAAGCAAAGATCATAACTTCTTCAAAATCGCTTCAACCAGAACAAAATTTTTCTTACTCTTTCTGATTCGGAATCTAGAGCTGAAGTAGCCTCATCAAGCAAAAGAATCTTGGGGTTCCGCACCATCGCTCTTGCTATAGCAATTCTTTGTTTCTGGCCGCCAGAAAGCTGAGTGCCTTTTTCGCCAACATCTGTATCAAGCCCCTTAAAAAGAATTTTAAACTATGTGACGTGCACCAATATAAAGCTGAAAAAACGTTAGCCAACACTAAGCAGTACTAAGAGAACAAATTTGTGACAAGTACAATAAACTAAGTGGTTTCCATTTAGCGAAATACATTTATATGTATAAATTGTAGTAAAATTCCTAATAAGATAGATTTCAGTGACTGTTGGCAGCACCAAGCCAGGATTGTAGCAAGCCAAAATTACCACTGAAAAGCTGTATCTTAAAAGGTACTTAATGTACAGTTAATGTTAGAAAGAAGACACCTGTGGTAGAGCATCAACAAACGATTTAGCGTTGGCAAGCTTGAGTATTTCGTACAGTTGTTCACTGGGCACTTCTTTTTCAAGTCCTAAACAAATGTTATTCCTGATGGATCCAGCAAAAAGTCGTGGCTCTTGTCCCACCAAAGCAATTTGGGTTCGCAAATAGTACAAGCACAAGTCCCTTGCATCCACACCATCAAAGTGCTGTAAATATTCACGTAGTCAGTAAACCAGAAGAGAGCTAACGCGTATTTTTAAGTAACTACAAATGTATTTCCATTCAAGTACCATGCAGAAAAAAACAAGGTTGCAAAACAATCTTTTTACAGAAATTTTTTGTAGTGTGCGCGTCTAAAATCACTTTTTTAAAGGTATGACGGTAACCGCCAAAAACAAAAAATGATTAAATAGCATTAAAACCTAACCACTGATCCTGCACCAACATCATAGAACCTTTCTAAAAGCGAAATGACTGTACTTTTGCCACAACCAGATGGTCCAACCAATGCGACTGTCTGCCCACGTTTTGCTTCAAAAGTTAAACCTCTCATAACGGGTTGCCGCCGTCGTTGAGGATAAGCAAAGTGAACGTTGTCGAACGTGATTCGTCCATTTATGACCTTCAAAAAAATTTAGAACATTATTTATTCTTCATTTAGAAAAAACCATTTTTATAGTGTCGAAGAAACATGTAAAAAAGTAATGCTTTTAAGGGAGAAATAAGATGAAATTGAGGTTTTCATCTTATCTTGCTCTCCAAGTTTCATATTTTTACTTATATCACATATAATATTCCCATCAGCATTTCACTAAGACTTCTTCTCATTACTCATTTACAGTAAAGTAAAGTTCACTGCTTTTGACAGACTTGAAACATTCTATTTTAACGAGCACTTTTGAAAGTTTTTGCTTCCTTTGAGTGACAGTATAATTTCCTACTTCCCTAAGTTTAACAGTTATTATAATTTCCTGTTTCATAAAAAAAATTTTAGATGTACAAAAAAGTACAGATTTTGTTCCCTCCATACGATCTCCCGTTTTTGGTTGACGCTTGATAATTCCGAACAAATTACCAGCTGCCGTGTGTGCGTTAACAATTTCTGGAAAGAATACTGAGGTGTATACGACACCCATTGCGGCTAACATTGTTGCAACAGTTGCACTGAAAAACTAGAAGCTTTATTGCAATTCTGTAATATATAATAAAAATAAATGCAAATATCTGATGTGAATAGTAAAACTAAAAAAATAAAAAAATTTTTTTGTAACAGCGTTGCAAATTTGTTTCCTTTTTTAAATGCTTATTAACAACTTTTTGACTTTAAAGACTTGACTGCTGACGTAATTTCCTAAATCTTACAGTTGCATCAGCGTTGATAATTTTCAAATTTTGGTTGTTTGCCCTGTAACTTCAAGTAAATTCTGATTAGTTTAAACACTTCAATAATGCTGTTGAAAGAAAATAGAATTTCTTACTTGAAAGAATCACCAACGTAGACGAGACCTATGGAGACACAATGAACACTTACAGCAGTTGTTGCTGATTGCATATAGTATCGAAAACTTTGTGAAAAAGCATAATTGAAAGCCTCAAAATAAGCCCTACGTACTTCAGCCTGCTTTTGAATATTGGAATCTTTCTGATATTTAACAATGAAACCGTTTTCTCGAGTCAACAACTGTATTGTTCTAACATTTTCAATGATTTCGACTGCCAGCTGCAACAGAGAGTATCAGAAGTACTCAAAAAACTCCCATCTCAATTTTCTGTTTATAAACAGTAATACTAAGATAAGGTAACACCAATACAAAAACCATTCTGTGCTTCTCACCTTTCCTGCATTATCATTCTTAATCATCGCACGATTGATTCTTTGTATTTTAAATGCTAAGAATATTTGAGTTCCGCCTATTAGAAATACTAAAGCAGCGCCGCATAAACCAACCTAAAATGATGTATAACGATACTGTCGGTAAAGACCATTATAATTTGCCAAGCTTGTAAGGTAGAAATCATCAAACCTGCCAACAACTGACCAAGCCAATTATGATATTAATTGTCATACCAGTCGCACAGAAAACAATATGCATTACTCGCGAATCTAATGCCTAAAATTTCAACAGTTTTTAAAAATAAGCAAACCAAAGTTCAAAAATCTATGACATTAAATTATCTTAATAACAAACCGCTTTGATTTTAACTGCGTCAGTGGCAAGCCTAGTTATTAGCTTGCCTGGTGCATGAGCTGGGTCATCAAAGTATGCAGCATCTTGTAGCAAGATACTTTTTAGTGCCTTAACACGAAAACGTACAGCCAAGTTTTCGGAGACCATGCCAAACAACGAAGTCTAAAAATGCAATCAGTAGACCAACAAAATTGTTATGTAGTTGTTTAGTATTTTGTTGAATTTGGAAGATCCTTGTCTTTGCATACGTAAAAAGTCGGTGCTGATTTACTCAGATATTCTACATATTTTTGAAGGTTAATTGTAATAAAATAACGTACACTTCCAAACTGAGTGACCATGATGGCAAATCCGACGCACACATACATGGCAAACGCAATGGCCAATTTGTTCATCAAGCCAGTTTCGTAGTCTTCGGCTTCAAATGCTTTGAAAACGAAGGTTATCATCAATGAGCCTGCTGGCAGATGCAGCCCGCAAAGCATTGCGATCAAGGTAGCAAAAAACTAAACCAAAAGGCGCCTATTAGTCAGAAAAAGCTGTCAAAAAACATGAGTAAAGTTACTGTCTACCAAAGCTATGTAATTCCCTTGTGCATTTGTGTAGATAGTTATTATTCCTCCTCCAGACTTCTTATCGCTCTCCTCATCTAGTACATCAGCTATCACTGGCAGTTGCGTGTCGTAATCTTCAACGTTTAGAGACATTCTCATGCTCGTACTAAACATCAGCAAACTGATTTCTACTTATTCTATTCAACAGTAACTTTTTACATTTTTTACTATGAAAAACAGTAGGTTATGAAAATAATCAAACAAAAATTAAAATTAATTCAAACCGAGAAACACGATCACTCTGTCTATTAGCTCTTGCGAATTCATCTACTTGACTTAACGCAGTAGACGAACGGCTTCGAAGTGAAGAAGGATAAGGGTAGTCGTTAGGAACGTACATACCCCCTTGTGATTCTCCTTTTCCCAACGAACTAGAAAAATTGTTTGTTTCAAGAGGTAACTGTAGCCAGCTGAGTAAATTCAAACAGTTTTTTATCTACGTACCCTTCTTTGAAATTTAGGTCACGGTTACTGGTAATTTACCAGTCAAAAATTCTTAAGCTGTAGCTCAACAAAACAACGCTTGCGTACTCTTTCAGTTAGCATTCTGCAATACCTACATCGTATCAATGTCTTCCTCAATTATGACTTCTTCAGGTTCAGGTTGAAATTGCTGAGCTTTCACAAGTTCTGCGTAAATGCCTCCAGCTCTAACTAATTCACCATGCGTACCTGGAATAGCAGTCAAAATAGGTCGTTCAACTGCAGTGATTGGTGCTTTGCTGTCAAACAAAAACGAGGAATAATACTGCACTATCCCACTATTTAAATAATTGCAAACAAGCCTTGTTCAGCAACAACGCCTTTATCGAACACTACAATTTTGTCCGCACCTCTAATCGTTGAAAGTCTGTGTGCAATCATTATTGTGGTTCTACCTTTAGAAGCGTTGTTCAAAGCGTTCTGAAATGCGCGAGTAAGCAAGACCTGATATATTTCCTTCAAAATTTCTGACGCCTTTGATAAGGCGAATTGAAGTGTAAAACTGCTAAGTAAAAAGATAACAGAATTAGCGGGCTAAAAATAGGCAGTCACGATCTGCAATAATTTGTAAACGAGAAATACAGATTGAATAAAAGTTAGTCAGTACTTGAACTACTGCTTCTGATTGAGCATCAAGAGCACTAGTTGCTTCGTCAAGCAACAGTATTTTAGGATCACGAACGAGCGTTCTCGCAATTGCAATTCTTTGTTTTTGCCCTCCAGACAATTGGACTCCTCCATCTCCAATTCGAGTTTGGTATCCCTAAAAAAGAGATAATCAAACTCTGTAAGCAGTTCTATCAGGGCTTGCTTAAAGTAACAATAACCAAAACAATCTAAAAATTAGCCTCCAAGAGACCTTAGCTTATTGTCAAGAAAATCTTAATAAGCATTAGCAAGCCCTATTTGAATCAAGAACTGCTCTGATGTTTCACACTAAATGATAAGTACAGAAAAACATGCATGCGGCTGTGAGAAAACTAACCTTTGGAAGTGCCATTATAAAGCTATGAGCATTCGCCATTTCGCACGCTTTAACCATTACATCCATATTCGCATCTGGATTACCAATCTTCAGGTTTTCTTCAACCGTGTCGTTAAAAAGCGTTGGTTCCTGCTGAACGATGCCAATGAAGTTCCTCAGATATTCGATATTAAAATCTTTTACATCATGACCATCTATTGTGACTGATCCAGACTCAGCTTCATAAAGACGAGTTATCAAACCAACTGATGTAGACTTTCCACAACCACTAGAAAAAACCTAAGCAGAGTACCAACTACTGTTCAAAAGCTAAATCATAAAATAATTTACCTGTGGCCCACAAGTGCTACCACCTGTCCGGGTTCTATTTCGAGATTTATTCCATTTAGAACCTTGATGTCTCTACGCGTCGGATAACGAAAATGAACAGCAGAAAAAACAATTTTTCCTTGAATTTCTATCGGTTTAATACCAGTCTTTGAATATGCATCAATTTTCGGCTTCTAAATACAAAAAACAAATTTTTAACCTTATTTCGGCCATCGATAAATCAAGTGTAAAATTTTTAAAAACTCGTATTCCTCTGCAAATTCGCGAACAAGAAATCAAATTTTACGGGCAGAATCACTTGGCTTTTTGTTAATTTTTGTTAATAGTTTAGTTTTTTGAGCGCAAATCTCGAAATTTGAACAAACTGCGAATTTAATGAATATATTTAAAAATTGAGCGTGAACATTGAGGAGTGGTAACTACAAACTGACCCTATCGATGGTTTCGTAAATGGTCGCTGCGGCAACTCGAGCGTTTAATAAAACCATTAAATGAGGACTAACAACACCAAGAAAATAGGCTCCGACGAGCATTGCGAAAACCACAGCAAAGAGTTCACCAGGATTCTCGAATATACCAATTTTTACTAAATACCCACCGTACCTGCAATTTATAAATTTTTATGAATTAAGAGAAATGATTCCGTTCCCTTGTCAATGTACAAATTTAATCTATAGATGTAACAATTTGTCTTTGCCACAGACTGTCTTCTTAAGTATGTACTTTCTGAACTTACAGTAAACCTGCTCCCAAAAACACATGGAGCACGAAAAAAAAAGCGCCACCAATAAATCCACTCCAAAGTGCTTTTCTAACTCCATGTGCTCTTCCCTTCATCAGCTCAGACCGATACCTGCGCACCATTTCCTCCTCACCATTACAAGACTGTACAGTTCTTACTCCTAATATAGATTCTTCAGCAACTGCGCCTGCTTTCGCAATTCCTTTCAACTCCTTCTTAGTTGCAGCGCTCATTTTCTACAAGAATAAAGTATGCGAGATTCTCTTCTTTCTGTTTTTTTCTGTTATTAACATTCATAGCTTACCATCTTAGAATTTACCTTAGAGACTTTTGTAAAAAGAATAATGATCATCAAAATTTAATTTTTTAACCTCTAAAAATTTACCTGAGATAGCTGTGACATAAGGAATGCTGTACATGGGGACACTCCAAGCATCACAAGTGCAACACGCCACTCGTATGTGAAACTGACGATTAGTGCAGTCAGAAACATTGATGCACCTTTGATTAGCAGTCCCAGTTTGTCACCTATACCTTCTCGAATACGCTCAACATTTCTGAAGAAATTGCAGTTCTTATCAAATGTTTTTTTTTTCAGTATGAACTAATTAATTAACAATTAGCATTTAAAAAAAATAATTTTGAAGCAGTTTCTTAATGTGAACAACTCTTTACTAATTACCATTTACTTTCAAAGTCGCTACGCCAATTTTCACTCAAAAAACTATTTTATTTTAACTTATCTTGGAAAACTAACTCGTTGAGGCGGGTAGTGAGAACCCCACATTGGTTGCGGTCAAACCATCCAGCGTTTTGCCGTAGAATGGCCCGGATGTATTCGTAACGCATTTTCGCTATTACATGACAGCAAATTACTTGAAAGCAAGTAAACTGCAATTAAACAACGTAAGATAATAGAATATAGACATTTATATAGAATAAAGTATACTACTAATATAATTAAAACGTTTTACACCACAACAATATGCTAACGCCATTTGTAATTGAAAATCTAACAGTTACGAAGTAAACCAGAACAAAAAAAAGTAGACGGTTTTTTATGAGTGAAGAAATTTGTAGTAAGGAAATGAAACCTGAATGTAGTTCATCAAAAAGCAGATAATTCCAAATCCAAGATACATGTAAATGCATTGAAATGATTCTCGTCTGAATCGAGGATCTTTCGGATCTACCGTGAGCAATACATTGTTTAGCTTACCACCAATCATCATGGCAGCTGGCTGCGCTACACCAGTAACAACTGCAAAGAGTGCTCCAACCACAGCCAAAATCTTATCGAAACCACTAGCGTACCGAAACTTAAAGATGCTTGTATCGGATACTTTATAGAGCACAACTTTTAAACGCAGATTATTGAAACTTTACACTTTTAAGATTCTTTTTTGAGCTAGAGGTAAAGAGATGTTAAATTTAAATCAAAAAGAGCAAACTTTAGCAAATTTTCTATTTAAATTAAAGCATAACAAGCGTACCAGGTCGTGTAATGGAACCGGTTTTATGTCTGTTGTTTGTTTGGCCAAATCTCGCCTGAAACACAGATTATCAATTTTTGGCTACCATACATAGCAAAACACAGCCAGCTTGTTTCGTAAAATACTTTTGTTGTGAAAATAAAATTGTTTAAAAAACCTTCTAGGTTTAAGTAATTTTATTACTGATCAAATCGAAAATGCAGAAAAAAGTTGAGCATTCGTTTTTAATCAACCCCGTACATGTAATGGCACATTATTTATACTTTTCAAATTTCTTTTTTACCTACACAAAACGGTGTTAATAAGTCTTTCAGCAAAGCTTTTTCGGTATTTCACTTTTGGCTTCTCAACATCATCACTGTCAGCGTCAACTTCTATCTCAGGTTCTTCGCCAGTTTTTGGGTTGTTTGGTGCTATATCGCTGACTTTTCCTTTCACCATAGCCGTCCTTCTTTCTTCAGACTAGCAAAACTAGGTTGCAAAAATCGCTTCAAATCCTCTAGATATCAGCATTTGTAAGGTGCTATCAGACGAACATCTTCTCACTATTTACATAATCGACAGTTATAAACTGATATACATTGATGAGTGGTTTGATTAAAATTCAGTTTATCTGTATATACTGTTTATTTTAAACGATTTCAAAATTACCAACGAGGACTGTTCAAGTAATATAACAAATGTTAAACACGTAAAGATTTCGAAACAGAGTATGTTTAAGGCAAAAGGATATTGAAAGTTGCAGTACTTACCCTAAATTTACGTAGTTTGTTTGGCAAGATATTTTTAATAAAAAAATGAAGTCTAGTTGAAATATTACAGGTCAGTTTTGGCAAACTAGAAATAGATAGGTAAGAAATGACGGAAAAACCGTAGAAGTTTACAAACGAAAATAATTTTAAAAACTTGTAAAAAGCTTCTTTATCAGCTCTTGAAAAACATCTGCAGTTTTAAAAAAAACTAAACGGTAACGGGCAGTTGCTAAGCACGTTCCACACTGAATGACGACAGTTATTCAACCTTGTGAGACTAAAACTAAACGGCAGAAACATGAATTATTAATTCAAAAAAATAATAATAATAATGATAATAACAACTTAAAAAAAAAAACTAACAAAAAAAAAGGCAAAACCATTCAGTGGTTTAGTGTAGAGTTTGCAAACAATACGAATTTGGTCTGCAAAACTTTGTTAATACTGCATCGGTATATCAGTATCAATATTTATGGAAATTAATGACAAACTGTAGCAGTGTTTAAATGTAATCAGCAGACAGACAACTTACTAAATTTTATTTCTTATTTGCAGATAAAGTGACTAACAATCAAAAACAGATCTGTTTCTCATTTTACTTTTATTTATTGACAGAAATGCTCTCTTAAATTCTCGACAGTAAACTGCAGAATTGGTACTGCTGAACAACCAAAGTTATGCATTACCCTAAGTATTAAAATGTTGATTTTTGAAACTTGAAAAAACTACAAAAAAAAAAAATAATAAAATAAGGAAGGCATTGCTCGCTTATATTTTGACCGAGTAAATTAAGAAAAAACTGCCTAAATATCGTTGTCTATGTTATTATTAAAGAACTGCGTAAGAATAAGGTATCGTCACCATAATTACAAGTAGGAAAAGAACAGCATTGACAAAAACTATGGGAACAGCAGAACATCATGTAATTCTGCATGAACTCTTATATTCGTTCTCGAAAGTACGCCAAAAAAATTTTTTAACTTTACTGTTGTTTTGTGCATCTTTTAGTGTTTAAGTTTAAACAGTTTTATGCAAATCAGTTTTCTGGGTAACAGATTAGTCGCGTTATCATTTTGATCTGTTTTCGAGTTTGTGTTTATTGTCTAACATTTCACTATCGATAGGATAGGTATTTTGTTCTATATTTTATTTTATTTTTTACTTTTTTTTTTGGCTTTCACTACATTTTATACTTTGTTATCAAATAAACTCAATAACAATTATTTTTTGAATTGCGTGACTAAAACAGAATGTTCATCTGATGTTTTACGTTTATCTACAGCAACCACAATAAAGTTGGCCACAAACTATATACGTATGATTCAGAAAATAATACTGAAACAGATGTTTCAACTTTTTACGAAAATTGATAAGTTTTTTAAAAATTCAAAAGAGAAATAGCATACACAGATTCAATTTATTGAAAACTTTTTTTTTTGTGTAAGTGTGGATGATTCTGTATGTGAAAATACGTCTAAAAATTTGAAAATGCAAGTTAAAAGTAAAAAAATTTTGCACTTATTGTCAAAATTGAGAATGGTCGATGAAATTAAAATTGTTTTAATGAGTATAGCAAAAAAATTATCGCAAATTATCTTTTAATGCTGAAATGTTGCTGTTGGCTTACCAATTATTTTTTGCTTTGACTGTAATAACTTTTCACTTTTGAGTAAAGGAGCTTTTTTTTTTGTTGAGTTAGCCAGAAAAGTTTTTCAAATTCAACCACATTTAGTTTGATTTTGGTTGGACGATATCTGTTGGATACGCTTAGTACAGTTGCTAATGCTTGAGTTATTATCCGGTTTCATGTACTATCGTTGTTGTTGTTGTTGTTGGCGGTTAGTTTCGATGGCCTTTTGCTGTTGCATTTTGGTCAAAAAAGTAAACGCCTATTTTGATGACGCGATATGATAATGTGGTTTTCAAATAAAGCACTATGCCGTTGCCAACTGAAACTTGCGTCAAAATTCGTCACCACTTATTTTTGTTCAGTGACTAAATCTTAAATATGAATATTATTAATTTTTGTTTTATGGCATTAGAAGCCAAAGAAAAAATAAGAAAAAAAAATGAGGAAAACCTTTGTACAAGTGGCGCACTAAAAATTTTAAGCGCTGAAAATTATTAACGTAATAATGGTAGAAATTTTCACTGGCAAACAACTTTCGTGACTCTGATGAATATCCTTCAACTACGTATGATGATAAAAACATGTCTGTAAATCTCATTTCAAATTAAATCACTCAATTTCTAGAACAAAAGTTCTTTTTTATTATACTATAGCAACGTAATCCTAGGAAAAAGTATCATTCATAAGTGACTTTGGACCTCTAGACTTCAAAAGCAAGTGTAAAAAAAATTTCTCTCAAAGATTCTTGCGGAAATTAACTCAAAACTAAAAATCCAAGAAGTAATTCTTAAATAACTATTTTTGCTTTTTGTTTGAAATTTTGAAGCTTTTAAAGTTTATCGTTTCGCCTGGTCAATTGTTTTTTAAACAGTAGTGATGTTTTTTGATAAGAGATTAACAGTTTCATATTGCTTTTAAAGTATTACAAGTTATTTCACTTTTCTACTTTCTGACACCATTACTATCAGTATTTATTGTTTCCGTCAAATGATAAGCATATTAGATAGCAAAAGCTAAAAAATGCTTGTACTTTATGAGCTTTTTTCTCGTCAGATATACGTGTTTCAAGCCGTAAAATAAGAAAAGAACTTTTTAAAAATTTTAAAAATGGCTTGCTTTTTTTTCAGATAGGCGTAGTATACCAGAAGACGAAAAAAAATGTCTAATTATACCACTCACTTTTAAATATACGGTGCCGGGCATGATTCTAGCACCGATGAAGGAAAAAGCTCATACTGATTTAATTTCTAGTGGGAGTTAGCTTTTTCATGCTCTTTTTTTATAGAGTTTGAAACTACAATGCAGCAGATTATTTACAAAAGAAATACTGACTGCAGATATAAAATTGTTGTAAACAGATGGTAAATATCAAACTGATAAAAAATAAGATTTCAAAAATGGCTAAAAAATTTAAATTTTTACGCGACAAATAAAGAAAAGATGATAGTGCGAAAAATGCAATAGGACGTGGAACAGTTAACACTTTATCGCCCACCTCTTTTGCCTGATTACTTTCCCCAATCCGTCACTCATTGAAACTTCTAACCGTGTATTTCTTCCTTTGATAATTTGTTTCAGTTCTCCAAACTACTGCTACAAGTTCATTAATATTATTCAATTTTTCACCCTTAATTTAAAGATGCAACTTTTTTTCGTAATAATTTTGTTAAATTTTAATTAGGACTCTGCAGCGCCCGCTTAAAAAAATTCAACTTTGTTTCCTCTTAGCCATCTAGTAGTAGAAGCTAAGAAGCGTTTTAAGTCGATATATATAGTGTAGGAAACATTCCACAGATACACTTATAATGTGTTTGAACCTTCAATGGAACGCCAGCTTTAGAATTATTTATAGAAATATTTTCCACTTTTCCATCTTGCTTTCTGCTGGAAACCCAAATATTTTCTGTTGAAAGAGCAGTCCTTTGTTTGGTTGCATGGTTTTGTAAGATTCCCGCCGACGCGAGGAAATAGTGGATGGTAAGAATTTATCGTTCATTTGTTTCATTTGGAAACTAGCTGCTCACGCTAATTGCGCTTTGCTATTATTATTGTATTGCCCGCGTATTGAAAGTTATGCTTGGCTAAATTTGTGTGTGCAAGAATTCACGAATTGTAAGGTTAGTGATGTATGATCTGTGTTTAAAGAGTAATAAAGTTATATTATTTTATTTTTTAATTGTTGAGACAAGAATAATTGAGACTGAGCCTAGTATTTACAAGTTAAATAGAAAACCTCATCCAGAGTATAGTTGTCAACTGACGTTAATTATTTCCCAACATTTAAAATTTGGTGCCCAGGGTGAGGGACACACTAGTAAGTAATTATGTCAGGTAAAATAAGAGCAGTTATAAGCAGGTTTTCGGAAAGATTGAGAGCAGACTCAGAGAAGGCTGAAGAAGTATTAAAGAATGAGCCCTTAGTTAAGGATGAATTATTACGGTTTTCAAATCACATTGAGAGTATTGTAAAAAAAATTGAAAAAAATTTTAGAATACGGTAAATTTTCAAAAAATATAGGAAGGTCTGAGTTGGAAATACAGGAATATAAGTATAAAGAGTTTGTCAACCAGAAAAACAGTTTCCTAAATGACTTGACAAACGCTGCTGATGCTATAGGTAGCAAACAGCGATTACTTAAGTTGACCACTAGTGGTATTAATATAATTGAAGATAAAAATAGTATAAGTACTGTTAAGTTACTTAAGGCAGCTTTTCCCACATTTGATGGGAATCCATCATAGTGGGAAGGGTTTTGGGAGAATTTTGTGGTTTCGGTAGAGAATCAGGATTTGTCTGATGTACAGAAGTTTTCTTAATTAAAGGAATGTTTCCTAGGCAAGGCTAAGGAATCCATTGAAGGTTTGGAATTAAATAATCGCAATTACCAAACCGCAAAAGAAATTTTAAGTAACAGATTTGGTAATAGAAGGCTGATTAAGAGAGCGTTATATAACCAGCTTGAATTTTTATTCTATTGTAGTAATTTAGCTACTGACCTTAGAGAATTTATGGTCAAAGTACATAAGGTTGTAAGGCAGTTAAAGAGTAGTGATGATAATATTAACCAGGGAACGACTTTGATGGCAATAGAAAAGAAGTTGCTGCAACAAGTGCTAATTGAATTGAAAAGTGATAAAGAAAAGAGAGTAAGTGTGAATGATCAGAGAGAGTCACTAGGAGATACTGAGCAACTATTAGGAGATTTAGAGAGATATGTAAAAATTAGGCAAGAGACAGATGCGCTAGTTCTGAAGGAAGACAAGAAAAATTATAAGCAGAGAGGGTATGGGAGGAAGGACTTTAAAGCAGCAGTGAAGAATGTGAAAACAAATAATGTATTAGCTGTTGTGGATTTCGCGGATAACAACAATATGTATGTATACTGTCTATCCTTTTCACTCTGATTATCTCAAACGCCTATCACAACTACATTTGTGTTTTAAATGCCTTAAGAAAGGACACAATCAAAAATTTTGTAATCATTCTAGAGAACGTTCTTACTGTAAAAGTAAAAATCATAAGAGAGCATTATGTAATCAGTCAATAGAAAATAGAAAATTTAAAATTGATTTTGAACAAAATAATCCTAATATTGGCAATGAAGATCCAAATTTAAAAAATTCAAAATTGAAATTCTTAAAGAATGTTAATGTGTTTGATTCTAAATTAAATTTGTTACCTGATGATCAGGTAATCATTTCATCTTGTCACAATAATTTAGAAGAATTTAAAAATTCTCATACTGATAAATTTCAGCTGTGGTTAATGAAATTGATACGCGATCCATCTTAACTCTAGAGACTTTAATGTTGATTACAAAAGTTTCTGTTATCAATCCTTCATTAAATAATGTTGGGGAAGTAGCTTATGTTTTTTTTTTGATACAGGTAGTGGGAGGTCTTTCATAACTGAAAAGAAGCTAAAAAATCTTGTAAAATTTCAAAGGATCTATTTTTTTAAGCAGGTATGAATTTGAGGGAATGGAAGTCTAATATAAACAGATCCGAGAAAGAAATTCATCCAAATGATCAAATAGCTAAGAAAGAAAAACTGAAAATATTAGAATTAACTTGGATAGAAAATAAAGATATGTTGAGTTTAAAATTAGTAGAGGTAGCTAGGCGTGAACAGTGGACAAAACGTCAAGTACCTAATCAAACAGCAAAAAATTGTGGTTCATTAGGCTACTTAACACCGATATTTACTAAAGCTATGATTTTCTTTCGACAATTATGTAAGTCTAGAATGCAATGGGATGATAAATTAACCATGAATTAGACAAAGTGTGGCAAGGAGATATTGAAATGAACATTTCTGAAGATTCAAACTTAGAAAATTCATGTCCTGAGTTACATGCATTTACAGATGATTTTCAGAAAGTTTCTGCAACAGTTTTTTATGTGAGGTGCAAAGATAAAAGAAGTCACTATAAGTGTAATATTTTATTTGCTAAAACAAGATTAAATTCTTGTAAAGAAATATCTATTATTAGATTAGAATTGTTAGCCATCTTTATCGGAGAAAAAGCAATAGAATTTGTTAGGAAAGAAACAAAGTTGAATTTTTAAAGATGCTTTTTATGGAGGGACTCAAAGTGTGCACTCAATTCAACTAAGTTCCTACCATGATTTACAGAAAATAGAGTAATGGAAATTCGAGACTATGACAATATAGAATTCAGACACACTTCAGGTGCGGAGAATCTAGCTGATTCATCAACATGTGAGTGTACTTTTAAAGAACTTCGACTGTGTGCTAAGTGATGGAATGCTCCAGACTGGTTGAACAAAGGAACATTCGAAGAGGAGATAGAAATTTATAGAATTATGGCATATAGTCAAAAAAGGAAATCGTATGGACTAATTTATCAGCATTATGTAAATCCAAGGACTTACCCCTTCTGTACCACACAGGTAAGAAGTTGGTTCAGCCTTAAACTTACAATGGTTTTTTGTCTAAAATTTTTTAAAAATAAAATCTGAACTGAATTTAAAGAAAATTCTTAGGAGGGATTAATATTGTTTAAAAACAATAATGAAAAAGGAGAAATAGAATATCATGAGCTCAAAGCAGCGGAAAAAACTATTATAACAATAGTACAGATGTCTTGTTTTAATTCATTTTTTGAGGAAAGTAGTTCAGACCCAAGAATTGAGATCTGGGGAATTGTTAATCATAATGGAATATTAAGATGTCAGGGTAGGATAATGCAGACTTATCCAGGCAAAGAAAGCCCTATACTGTTACCATCCGGTGACAAAGTAACTAAATTACTAATTGAGGAAATACACAAAAAATTAAAGCATGGAATTTACATTAGCATAATTTAGGAGGCGTTGGTGGATGTCTAAAGTAGGAGAGAAGTTAAAAAAGTAATTAGTGCTTGCTTAATTCATAAAAAATGGGCTGCAAAACTAAAAACATTTTTCTATGAATACAAAAAAGAAGAAGAAATAAGTTGCAAAAATTGTTTAGTTAATTGTATTGAAGGAGGAGTCGCTTGGAAAAATATGAATAATGTTTCTATAATTGAGATTTGTGTTGATTCATTTTGCATGACTTATTAAAATCTTAAGGAAGAACAAACTGTAATACCACCACGTGAAGTTGTAATCAAGATTTGTGAAGCAGTAGTAACAATATGGGCTTCAGGGAAAATTATCAGAAAGCTTCTTTTAAAATGTAACTCTGCACTTTGTGAATTTATTCAATGTTGTTTTTGTCTTAAAGCGATATTTAATCCTCAATGCGCTTCGAAATGGGAAAAGTTCATTCTTATAGTTAGTATCTATTGTTTTCTTATTATTTTTTATATTATAGTTAAATTTTGCAAATATAATTTAGAATGTCTTTTTAAAGCAATAAGATGTATTTTTTGCATATTTATTATATATAAAAGAATTCTAAAAACTTGTTCAAAAGTTGTCACGACCATACGCGAAACGGCAGCTATTACAGTAATGTCCGACGGGAATATGTTCCCTAAGAGGGCGCTCTCGGAGAGGCATAT